ATCTCCCTCTTAAATATCAGCGTCTCGCTTCATTAAAACAACCATATTTCACAATCAGTAGCAAACAAGCTAACTGTAAATAAAGATTCCTCTCACTCTCGCTCTGCTTCCCTCTCTTCCATCTCCCATGATCCGGGATTGACACATTCGCCATTACTCATACTCCTGCCGCGATATACAACAATTAGCATTATTAGCCAAAAGTTCCGAAGTCGCATCTAGCCTCGTCCCTCGGCTGCATGACGCAGTCCGCGATACATGCAGGCATCTGCCGTACCGTGCGCAGAAGCAAGAGGGAGAGGCTTACGAGATCCGGCATTGCGTTCGCTAAGAATTCGCCTGGCGCTTGGCTGCGGTCGCGAGCAGCTGAGCCCCGCGGTTCTTTGGAAAGTGGTGAATTCCTTGCGCATTTTCGCGCCGCTCGTCGTTTTTCCTTTTTCATAGCGCGCACCTTTCGTCCGGAATTTTCTTACGTCGCCACGGGCATGGGCTCGCGGTGGTTGTTTCCTTGTTTCACTTCGAGTGTCCGTTGTGTAAGAGACCGGCGGCGAATTTACCGAGACTTACTGTCTTAATTTCATTGCCTGCAACCGCCAATCAGTGAAAAGCCACTGATTTTCAGCTGAAATGGCAATGTTTGAGCTGATTTGAATTGGGAAATAATATATACTTGGGTAATTAAGGCTAAGAGTCGATGGCTTGCGAAACTGCACGTTAATGTGCAAAATTGGTGCTTTAGTGAATTTCTACTTTGAAGTTAATAGATGAAAATTCATTAAACCTTCTTTTTCATTACTTCATTATTTTTATTGATTCTATAATACAACGTAGATTTAACTGCTTATGCTGACTCCCATAATAATTTTAACCCTTTTAATTTAAAAAAGTGTGATTAATAATGATGACATGTAATTTTAAAATAATAGTTTTAAACGGGTTTTATACAAATATTATGTATCATAATTGGAATAATAAGACTTTCAAAAGCTTAACTAATCCATAGAGAAAGACGTCATTATACTTTGTTGTTTAAGAACTTCAAAAATTAGGAACGTCATGATATACATAAGTAAATGAAAAATAGTATTCAACATTTTCATTCCATTCATTTTTTATTACCGATTTTATAAGCTGTTTACTTTATTGTTATTGTCTGTTATTCATAATATTGTATAATGAATAATTGCAAACATTACAAGTTAAATGCATTTTAATCTTAAACTCGCATTTTATAAAAAGTTTTTAAAATGTATGTTATAACGTGATTTTTGCTTCTAAATTTATTTGGTCCCGTTTTCAAAAAAGTTTTACTTTAATTTTCGAAAATAATTTACGGAAATAAAATAAGCAGGTATGATTGTATAGAATAAAATTTTTTTTTGTATACATTTAAATAATTTGTTAACTGCTAATAGCATATAAAAATATTCAATTATATGCATGGAAATAAAACTTTAATAATCATTTATATTAGAATTCATTATTATTCCATAAAATATTATATTAGTTTTTTCCACATTTTTAAACACTTTATAATTAATAATCAAGAAAGTTTTTAAGTATTTGAAAAATCTACCCATTACGATTCACTGAAACTGGTTTTGCTCTTGAAAAGGAAAAAAAAATTCCGATACACGTTAAGATTCCCATGTATAGAAAATAGAAAATAAATGCAACGTGTAAAAAAAGTAAAAAGTTAAATAAATAATTTAAATAGTCATATTATATGAGATGCCAGTAGTAAATGCATAATTATAAGACAAACGAAGATCTCGTTATTAATTGTTGAATATTGTATTTGAACGTTGAATGTGGAATAATAATTAAATCGTAATGAAACATAGATTTTTCATGAATTACTAATATTAATTCAATTTATTTTATTTTAACTTAAAAGTTGTTTATTACAAGATGAAGCATAATTTTATAAAATTGGCTAAAAGTATTGAATTTCAGTTAGTAAGTGGATTTTAGTAACAAAAAAAAAGAAAAATAATGTTAAAGGTGGAATACGATCCTTTATGCATTTTGTGCAATCCCAAATGAAATCCTTGAAGTATGATGTTAAACAATAAGACATAAATTTTTGCGGTCTCAAATTAGTTTGCTATTTTATGTAATGTAAATTTTTCATTTTCTGCCATGTAAAATAATCATGTATTTATATACACAAAAAAATATTACAAATAGGTAATACATATATCTATTATTTTTTTCTTCTTTTTATATAACAATAACAAAGGAAAAATCTAATTAGTGGTGTAAAGCAGTAATTTATAGACATTAATTAACTATACTGAATCTTTTTGTATTATCATCACGACTTATGCAATTATACTTTAAATTACCTTAATTTTTATATGTTAAAAAGGAAAAAAATATTTGCCAGCATAGCGTTAAGTTTTGAAGATTAAAAAATTGATTTCTCTCACAGAAATCATCGGGTCGCATAATATTCGAGAAACTACCGTTGAACTCTAATTCCCGATTTATTTACCGATCACGAGATCGTATTCATTCATCCTCATCATCTTCCGTTAACAAAATTAAATACCCAATATACACCAATAATTGAGAAAAGTTCCTATCATAGTCGACGGAGCTATTCGAAAAATCTCCATTAACGCTGCTATCCTTCGTAGCTACGGTGGCTTATTTCTCCTTCTATAAGTGAAAGACAGACAGATAGATAGACTAGAGAGAGGAACTAGAGAGAGAGAGAGAGTGAGAGAGAGCGAGAGAGCGCGAGGAAGATAAGAAGATATAGGAGAAGGGAGAGAGGAGGGTGAGAGAGAGATAGAGATAGAGAAAGAGGGAGATGGATGGATGGAGAAATTTCATAACCGCGTCGAAATTCCAGCACAGGAAATCGTTCGCTCGCCAACTCGAGGATCATCGACTCCTCTCCCGTGCGCGCGCGTGGTTATAAGGTCGCACACACGCGCGGGCTTACACGGACATGCACGAAAATGGGGAAGCGTAAGAAGGTGCCGTTACCGGTTAACGACGCGCGTAATTGATGCAGCAGTGTCGCATGGTCAAATACCTCGACGTCCGCGGTGAAAGTATCGTCACCGTCCGTTGTCTTGCAGCCCTCATCTATGTGACCGTCGCCGTCTCCGTCACCGTCGCCGTGGAGTCGTAATAACGTCGATAATGGCATGTGGAATGCCGCCCGGTGAATTGAATTTTCGCGAAACTTTCATTCCCACGAGTTTTAGAACCCCGAGAAGAAGGACGCTGGTCCTCTTTGCCCCAAGGACAAAGCAAAACTCCTTAGCTCATAACACTTGCATGATTACTGTTGCTCGTCTTAATGCCGCAGCAAGGAGCGATTTTTATAGTTTGTATCTTTCATTTTTTTGTTTTTCACGAAGGGTGTTATGAATTGTGAGGCAGAGTCGTTCATTTCCATGTATGCGATGATATTCATTATATAAATAATTAGACGCCCGCTGGACTCGTAAAATCCACAATTTCCATTTATTTTCAGAAAGCTCGCGTGGTTTCTGTAGGGCATTTGAGAAATATTATACACCGATATTTTACATTTTTTATAAAATTGCAAAGTTTATTAATATATTGGCCGGCCGCAAGATCGCGCGATTATAACCTGATGTGTACACGCTAGACGTGTCATCCATATAAACAACAAACTTGTCACCTACTCGTATTTTTAATATAAAACGAAAAATAATTTTAACATTATATTCACAATATTTTGGTGAACGCACTTACTGATCCAAAGCAAATGCAAACCAACTTTTAATACAAAGTACATTTACATGCTACTATCTATAGAATGAAAATATTTCTTTTTATAATTGCATTTTTCGCTGCATGAATAATGTAATGAGATGATTATTTTCTTCGTTTTAAACGTTGTAGAGTGAATCGAAAGATTATCGATAAAAGAATGCTAGAATTAGAAAGAATAGCGGCAGCAATTAAATTCGAAATTTGTTGAAAAATTTATTTAGAAGTATCCTATAATAATAAAAATTGCTAATTATACGATTGCCCATAGATATTTTGCATTAATGTATGTAAATTAATGCAACGTGATTACTTTATTTAATAAGATGTTTTAATATTATTTCAATTTTATATCTAATCTTAGGGAGACGATCACACTTACGAATAAATGTAAACTTGACTTTCCAATACATTGAAAACGTTCTATTGCTTTTAATTTACATTCTTTGCACATAATTTTATAATAATAAGTTTTAAATATAATTTCATCGAACGATAGTGGAAATTGTAACATTTATCTGTGTGTTGGTAATACAATTAATTATTACATCTAATGAAGATTTCATGACTCTGCGTACGATTATGTTCGTTATGATTATTGTATTACTAAGTATAACTCGTCATGATTGCGTATATATCACTTATGATACTCCTTAAAGTATGCCGTAATTTTTGAAACATTTGTGTGACGATGATTCTTCGCGTTCATCCAATCTGGCATAAAGTCATTTCATTTATGATTTCATGCACAGTTACAAATCAGTATTTGTTGCACGATGCGTGAAAATAAGTATTTTTAGGCTATTAAGCCAAACAGATGAGATTAGATAAAAAATTTGCACAAGAGCACCTGAAAATAATCTTTTGGAATAGTTATAATCCTTTTTATATAATTTAATTAATTATTTTGTGGGCGCAATTATAATTCTTCGTAAATTCATGTAGTTCGGCAATTATAATTGGCTGTTAAAAAAAATAGCATTGTTTAAATATCCCAAATATCATGGGGGATCGTCGATGGACGATGCACTTGCGATTCCTAACATCATCCTCGGCAATTTCCCTTTAAACGAGAATAACTCGAGCATATCTCGATCTGACAAATCGTCACTCAGATTCGAGACGTTCTTCTTCCTCGAAAGAAAGCACGGATCATCGCTCGTGGCGACTAATAGCACAGGTTCGCGCGCACGCGCAGACGCGCACGCACACGCGCGTGCCTGGATTCTCTCATAGGGACTCACCTTTTGCCACTCGGTATGCATTTTTCCACGGAGTCCGTTAAATGGCACCGCGACGGAGATCCGACCTCATTTTCTCTTTTTCGTAGTCGCTGCCGTCGACGCTCGCGCGCCACTTCTCGTAGAACACTCGGCTGAAACACAAAAGTGAAATAGAGAGACGTTAATGACTCGTAAAGTGTATAAATGTGCGCGTGACTTCGTTTCAACGGATCGCTCGAGGCGTGTTTAAGTCGCAGGTACATGGCGCGTATACGCAATAGTGTGTAATTGAAAATTACCAACGCGACAATGAGACGGTTGAAAAAATGTTGCGCGTAATGACACATAATGCGCTTATTGAGCTCAGGCTTTTGTAAATACCCTCGACGTTCATTGATCTCCTCAAAGTCTTGCTTGTGATTAATTTTTAGACGATCTGCTATCGTTATTTATAAATCTTAATGCTTATGCTTAATCTTAAACGAAATTTGCGACATTTAATTGAGGAATCGTTCCAGCAATGGACAAAACGTTTTATTACGCTGGAATATTAAATGTCATTGTCAATTACAAATACATTTTTCTTCCTTTAGTATCATTTTAAAGTTAATGTGGTAATTTTAGGCGGAAGATTATATAATCGGGGAAGTTGCACGTAAATAGTAATTCTCAAAATCTTAAAATATCAAAACAAAGTACCTCTATATTATCAGTTAATCTACATTATCTATAATAAACAATATGACATACTGGAGTTAATTTAATACTAAAGAAATTTCATACGTTCACTTTATTAGAGCAATTATATATATATATATATATATATATATATATATATATATATATATATATTATAAAAAATTGTCCTTATGGTTCTTCATGCACAATAATTTGTTTTAGTTTACATTATTAGTCTCAGTTAGAATAGCGGTATAATCACATGACATTACATTGTTATGATATTCTCGTGCATTGAATTTATACAAATAAAGATATTAAATCAACATACATCGTTCATATTTTATTTTTGAAATATAAAAATCATTTTTGCTTCTTCTTTCATTCCATTTTATTTTTTAATAACAATTGCCTTTGGAAATTTACATGCCAGTCAATTGTGCTTCACATATATTCAATATTTATTCAAAATTTGATGATAGATTAAAAAAAATATTTATATATATAACACAAATTGCTTCAGTAATAATACCCAAAATGCATTGTTAATTAAGAAAGTAATAAACAATATCCGTGCGAGCCATTACTCTGTAATAGTAGGGACAAAACGGTTGACTTACAGAATCACGATGTAACATCTGCGATTAAAGCTCACGGAAACATGATTATTACTATTAAAGAAAATGTGCATAAAAAAAAAAATTGAAGAATTGCCATTGCATGCAAATAAATTCTGATCGAATAATATTGTTAGCCAACCAATAAAACGAATATATTAAACAATATATTATTGTAAATAAATAGAATTTCATAAGGGAATTAAATAAATTTTTCAGGAACGGATTTATTCGATACTGCAATACTTACAATAAAGTTATGCTGAAGAAATGTGCAGCCGAGTCGTAAGAAAAGTCACATTTCTCCAAAGATTATCTCGCAGTTCAATTAATTGCATATTTCAACCATAAAATTTAAGGGCAAAAAGCATTGAAATACTTAAGATAACGCGAATTAAAATAAATTGCCAGCAAAAAGATGGGGAAGAAGTTCACGCGAAAATGCGTAAAAATTAAAGAATAAATGCTGCCGCTGAAAAAAAAACGTCGTCATTATTATCGACTAATCTCCCGTAATCGGCCCTCGCATTAAAAGAAAAACGACAAACTCTATTTGACATGCGCATTCGACGAGTAATGTACTGTACTGGTCAGCGATTGTCACTTTAGAATTCTAACGGATTGTATTCCGGCCTGCATATCATTGCCCCGCACGACACTTCCGTCTCCTTATTACCGCAAAAAAGTGTCCCGGGACTGCGCACGCGCTCGCACGTGTCTACTAAGCGAATATATATTATGGGTGCGCGCGAGTGGCTCGAGTAATTTGGTACATTACATTATTAGGTAAACGCCTGCATCTCCTACGACCGGCGCAGCTTGATCGCAACGCAATAACCGGCGATATTCAGCGTAAGAAATGCTGTTTTTTTTTTTTTTTTTTTTTTTTTTTTTTTTTTTTTTTTTTTTTTTTTTTTTTTTTTTTTTTTTTTTTTTTTTGCCAAGTCACATGGAACGTTGAAAATGTTGCGTTCAAGAGGCATTTCAAGTGCCATTTGCCCACATCCCAGTGGTCGACTACGAAAACATTGTTAATGTCAAGCCGTCTCTTTATCGATTATCGCTTGATAAATAATCCATAGTAAAATACGTTTTTGGCGAAGCCTCGAACTTCGGCAACCTCCCCTCTCACGTCCAACAACTCCGCGAGCACGAGCGACACGATTATCCGCGAGCGTAGACCAATCGATCGTCCATTCGCCTCGTTCGACTAATCATTCGGCAAACCTGGCAAATTAATCCCCCGCACGCATCTCGGTGAAACCATCAAACGCGGATTGGCAGCTCAATCCCCGCACTTGCGCTGCATCGTCAACAGAGGCCGGAGGCGAGGTTAAGGCGCAGCCTTTAATGCACACATGGCCGGTATGTGGGTCTCGCGCTGCGCAAACACAGTCGTCGAACGCGTTCCCTCTCCACCGTGCGCTATTTTCACGAGCCCAAGGGGGTAATACGCCGCGTGGCCTTGGAGGCACGAGCGGAATGTGGATCCCCAGTGGGTTCGCAATGTCAAGCGAGCCAGCGCGCCTAGTGGGATGTGCCGTCCTCTTGGAAACGGCTTGGTGTGGCTTTTTGGCGAACGGCCTCGGCCCGTCAAGTTCACGGGCACTTCTTCTCGCACCGTTTTCTTCTTCCTGCGCTCCTTCGGCCGCCGTGAGCGAGATTTGCAGTGACCGCGCGCGTGCACCTTTGTCTTTGGCTTGTCCCCCGTGTTTTCGCACGACCTACAAATTATGCGGCTAAGTTGATAAGGGGTCAAGCCTCGCGTCGATATACATACGTGATTGCTAATCCTTTGTGCGTTCCGCGCTGAATACAATTGCCCTACCGTTGAGAGAGAGAGAGAGAGAGAGAGAGAGATTGGCAGGACATTTTTTTTAGTGTTCCGAGAGCGTCGGGTGACGGTTTGGGAAAAGCAAAAAATAAGCTCAGAAAATGAAAACGGGACACGACCGTTGAGCCTACGCGTTGAAGCGCATATTTGTTAAAGAATTTGAGAAAGATTAATAGAGATGCTAAGTAAGGCGTATTTGAATAGCATAAGCTTCATTTATTTACAGCTTTCTCTTGATGTATTCATAACAAATTGACATATGTCACCAGGTGAAGCTTTTGTGGGACACTTCGCCAGTGGAATTTTTTTACAGTTCCATAGCGTTTGCTCTGCATTGTAAATTTTCGAAATTCCTATGATTGATTATTAAAGTGACCTATGGCTCATTTCGCCGTGCACTCGAGGTTGAGCAAATTTAACATCTATTGATTGTCGTAGATTACTTCGTCGGTATATGCAGCTGACTGTACTTATCGGATGTTATTTTTATTTCATAAAATGTTTAAAGACTTCTCATCGAAAGGAAGGGAACAATTATTATTTCTGCTGACTTTTCGAGTAAAATTTTTATCTAAGCACCACAGTGCTGTTGTTCGAGGTTGACCGATCTTTCTAGGTCGTGACCTGCTTAATCTTTTAATTCTCTACCTTGGATAAGAAATTGTATTTTTTTTTTAATAGTGAGATAATTACTTTCAATGTTTCATAAGGAATAATACATATTTTTGGGATGCAAAAATTAAATAACAGAAATAGATATGTTGGAGTTTAATAGTGTCGCCGAGCGTTCAAGGTCGGTCAGTGTTAATTTAAAGGCGATTTTACTCTAACTATACATGTAAAAAACGCGGTGATTTCTGAAATCCAAGGTATTTCCCTTACAACACATCACGATTGTAAATTTATTATCTGAATAATAGACAGGATGGAAAATTTACAACTATTGTAAATTAACATAATGAATATTTTGAAGAGACTTTATCATTCTAAAGAGATATTTTCAAAAAATTTCAAATTGTTTCATGTGAATACTAGATTTCTATTATATTTATTATCTACAAAGCTTTAAAATTATAGCTAAAGAGTTGATTGAATAGATTAAACATTATAATCAAAGCATGTTGAATTTTATAACTGTAAAATATGTATTTAAAGTTTTTCCCCAATAGTTCACCATCGGATCCTAAGTCCCACATAAATAAACTATTTATTATTGCATGCATAACTGCTTAAACATTTAATAGTTAATAATTCTAATAGTTTATAAGAATTGACATTTAAATATACTTCGTATATTCGAAATTATAATTATTCCATTTGGATAGCAAGGACTGCCGGACTTATGAATAGTGAAGACCTTCGGATTATCATTCATTCCATACATTAATGAAATTTAACTAAATTCACAAAAATAAATAAATCACTGGATTGTTCTTAAAACAATTTCAAGATTGTTAAATATTTAATTTGGATTATAAAAATTTCATCCATTAGTGTATGGTTAATTGATGACACAACCATCACTTAAGACAAAGATATAAAGTCAATAAACGCACGCCAATTAAAAGAAACAGAGAAAGATTACTGCTCTTAGTGCGTTTATAAAAATTAGAAATGAAATAAAACTTTCATCAAGTTATTACATTTTCAAGCATCGTAATTTATCCAGTAACTCAACACGGATAAGCGTCTGATAAAATTACCACAGCGATAGCGATTAGTACCAAAAAGTTTTTATTTAATGTGGCAATGCATAGTGACATTGTCCATCATTTCATAATAACTACGATCTCAAATCATAATTATAATATTTTATAATTTCCAATAATGACGACTCTTAGTAAATAGACGAATGAAAAAAAAAACATAAATACGGAGTAATGTAAACAAACAGGTACGACTTACAGATTGTAATTTAAGCTTAAGATAGCTCGCGATAGATTTTTTCATCATTCTCTCGGAGAGAATTTAAGACATTCCGCACTTCTTAACAACGAATTTAACAACATTCATCGAAAAT